TATTGAACAGTAGAGAAATGAGTAACTGAGTAAGTAAATAATAAATATACCAGGATATTAATTTATAAATATAACACTGTAAGAATTCAAAATAGATGTGGTAAGGAGTAACATGTGCCACATAACTTTGGTTAAAGTAACACATTATAACTGGTGAAAAGTATTATTATGTTGAAGTTGTTATTATATGTTAATGCTATATATATTGTATTGCATACCAAGTGTTTGTCACGTGTTTTTTTTTTTTTGCATTTTAAGAAAAAAAAATGTGGCATGTTCAAAAAATGTTCTATTCCATCTTACCCTGTTCCTGAGGTTCTACCAGCCTAGACAAACTGGCTTTCATCACTGATAATGGCATGCCACCTAAAAACTGAAATGCTGGAACTGATAAAAAAAAGGAAAAGTTTATTAATAAGTATACCAGTAGAAACTACTGAATCATAAGTGAGCCCTATTATCAATTAGGTATGTCTTTCTGAGACATACCTAATACATACATTGGGCTACTATACCACATACTACATACCTAGTATATATACATTGGGCTTCTGCCCAACTTGCCATTGGCAACCTTAAATTGTTAAAATGGTCCCCAGAAATAAGATTCCAGCTGTCGTAACAATATTTTGAACAGTATTACATAGCATTTGTACAATTGTTTATCCCACTTTAAATTTATAGGTTTATAAACACCCAGTCATAAAACACTACAGCTTGTTATGTGTCCCAGCTTGGAGCGCTGAGCTATATCTTAGAAATAATAGCTTGTCTCATATTTGATTTTTTTTAGAATATTATTTCCAAAGGTTGTGAATACAAATATTTATAGAATGATGTACAGTCATGACCATATCAAGCACAAGACTGACCAGAATCCACTTTAAGCCTTTGATGATTGTGCTTTTTAAATCATTATTTGGAGAATGCATATAAATAAATTCAAATTACAATTTTTTTGATAAAAAAAAATCAAATGTAGTAGGAACTGAAGGAAAAATGACATTTTTTTAACCAGTTACAACCAACATCTTTTAAACATAAAGCAAAGCAAGAAGAGGATTGTAATGTATTCAACACAACAATTGGACATTTCTTCAATACCAGGCATATGAATCCATAATAGAAACTCAGAATTTTCTAGAAGGTTAGACTAGCCACAATTGATACCATTATGTATCTCACAAATAGTAATAGTAATAGATCACAGCTGTGCATCAATTTGTGGTAAGAACAAAAAAGTGACACACAAGGTGCAGTTGAGTGTGTATCATATTATTATCATATAAACATTATTATAACTATATTTATTTATTATCATATTAATGATATTAACCTTTTAACTTCCAGAAGTGATCAACATAAAACTTCTCCCTATAACATTCATGCATTATTCAACAAACAGGTAATGAGAATATTCAAACTGATCATGTAGAAGCTGTTATCTTGATATAGCACCAAGTTCTCATAACCAATAGACAAGGAAATATGTAGCAGCTAGAGGGGAGATTCGCAATCAGATCTTGGGAGTTAAAAGGTTAAGTAAGAACCAATCAGAATGCATTTATAATTCAATAGATAGTGCTATAACACTTACCAATAAACAAAAAACGTGTTGTCCTGCTAAATACTGCCACAATAAGACCAGCAAAAAGGGACAGTAAACCAGATTCAATGATCAGGTTATTGGCCATTTTTAAGATGGTCTGAAACAACTTAACAAAGACCAGGCTTACAATATATCGCAGAGCTAGAGCACCAGATAAGAAACCCAACAGGATCAGAGTAAAACAAAGATATGTTTGGGCATGAAAAAGAATCAGATCATTTGTCCCATAAAAAACCACTCCACCAACAAATAGTGCAGCACTATATGTAACTAGGCGCCATCTTCGACCATTTCCTGGATCATGACTGAAAATTTTCCAAATGCCCACAAAATCACTGCATCTGCAGATTGGAGTAAGTTCGTGGGTAAAGACATTTGTTTCCAGTAGGAAGATCACGCATAAAATGTTAAATACCATAATAGCCATGATAAGCCAGAGGATATCATAGAAAGATTGACTTTCCAAATAGAACCCACTAATAAAATAAGCCAAGCCAATTCCAATCCCTGCTGCACAATCTAAGCACATAATTTTCAAAGTTCTTTGTTCATTACTCGTAATATCGGCAGTATATGCCATACATGATGCCATGAAGCTAGTGTTGTATCCCACCGCACTTGTCATCAGACTAGCAATCACAAAAAAGTACAACGGTGCTTGAAACTTTATAATGATGGTAAACAAAGCTGCACGTAAGGCAATGCCTATCAAGGTAGCAACCAACACATTTCTGCGTCCTTCAGTCTCACTCCAGATTCCAAGAATTATTGTTGATGGCATTGCTACCAAAAATGACACTAAATTTATATAAAGTAACCAATGATCATTATCAGCTGAAATGAGGCCAGGGTTTTCTAAACCACCACAGGTAGCATTATTCAATGTTTTACAACAATTGGGTCTCTCAAAATCTGCATGATCTTTCACTGAACTGCCATAGATGTATTTTTGAGTGATAATGTCCAACAGAGTTGTTCCAAAAAAGTTCAGAAATGAAAGAAGCTCTATAACAGGCCAATACCTCACCATTTTCTTTACTTACAGCAGATTAGTCACTTAACCCTGTAAAAAAAGATAAATTTGAAAGAAAAGCAGTGTCAATTGCAGGAAAAAAAGATAGAAAATGTGTGTAAAGAAAAGATAATGTAGGAACTAGTGTGACCCCACATATAATAGTTAGTACATGTAATGTAGTCTAATTGTCCAAGTGAGAGTGGCATGGGTCCAAAGTTGTCATCAGAGTCAGGTTGTTGAAACATCAGTGAATGCTTCCAATAACATTCCTTTTCAGGACTACTCTCACCTGGACAATCAGATGACATGACCAAGAGAATACATAAGTATATCAATCCCACTTAAGGACATTCTGTGTAGCTTTACTCCCAGCTTCATCCCAACTGATTAAAATCTCAAGCAAATTGTGTATTACTGTAACTGTTTTAGTAACTGTTTTGATAACTGACAGATGGGAAGAGTTACCAACCAATTGTAAAAGATTTTCCAAAGGATGTAAAATGATAATTGGTTGGATTCCCCTGATCCCCCTTAGCAGATTTTTTCTTTCACAGCGTGTTCTTTATGTTGGACAAAGTAGATCGTTTTTAGAATGGGGGAAAGGGGTCATTGCCTGTTGTAGGATCAAGTGTTTTAATTTTCATGACCAGTGAAAATATGAAATTAAAACCCCAGTGAACTGTTTTTTTTTTTGCTTTTCACAATATGTGAACTTTAAACTTGTTTACCCAATTTTTGGTGATGCATTATTACTACTTTTTGACAGGTGTGAAACATGCACAGGACCCCCTTTCTCAGCCATTTTCTTAAATAAGTTCATTTTGGTTGATTCTGTCTCTGCAATGCTGAGGTACAAATGTCCATGGAATCAAAAGAAATTGCAGGAAGACAATTATGACCCCAAAGTTAAATCTCATTACTAATATGTTGCTGCACCAAATGACCCTCACTGAGTTGCAACAAAATTAACCAGATTTGACGTCTCCTTTACAAAAGGGTAGTTTTAAGTAAAACTCTAACTTGTGCCTACATCAGAGCAATTTGTATCTAGTATGAAATCTTCAGATTTTTAGTCTAATAGGTCAAATTCTAAAACTCATCCTTATCTTAAAAGGACATTGAATAGCATGCTTTGGAGTCTGACTGAACGAAGGCAAACGACTTGCCTAGCACTGTAACAGAAAATGAAATTTAAATTATATCACAATCATCTGCCATGAGATTCTCTCACTTTCTCTCTTAATGACAAGAGATAAATTCAGTATTTGTGACTCATGAGTAGAGTATGTCCACTAGGCCTTAAGCTAACTCCTCCCACAAAAAAGTTGTTGTTTACCTCTGTAAATGGTTGAGTAACCTTCCGATCCACTACAGTGTTTCCTTTTCAAATCCCCAAATGGCGATATGTATGATTTATAGTCAGCAGTGAATTTTTACGATCCTCTGATACTGCAAGAGGCCATGTGATATTGTGTGGGTATCTTGTGATTAGTTGATCATGTGGGATCTCTTAGGATACCATACATACAGCATATTATGTGGAATAAAACTCATGGCGTTGAGGAATAATTTGAGATACTACGATGAGGAATTGGCAATGCAGTAACGTCAGGTTTTTACGATATCGTACAACACAGCCTTTGAACTACACTATGCCTGGGCCCGACCACAACTACAGAACTGAGGAGTGATAGAGGAAATCTTGCGGTCGTCATGAGATCGACAGTGAGTTTCACAGGTAGATTACACATCACATGACTTAAGATAATTATACTAACCTCTGTCCCTCTTGTAACGAGAGATAAATGAAAAGAACACTGTTATATCTCCGATGAAAATCGTAAATGACCTGTTTGAATTGTCGTATTCAACAGTTTTAATTAAATCTAACTTCCGGAATGGTGCACGTTTCGCTTTCTCGCGCGCCATATTAGAATTTTTTTACGTCAAAAATTCGTTTCCAGGCACCGTCGTGCGTGAGTCACCAGAAAGTTTGTCACGTGCAGGGGAAAACCCGCTTTGTTATAGGTTTCAAAAGTGTAACGCACTCATTCATAATCCTCCCCCATCAACTCAAGGAGTGATAAGCTTCTACTTTCTCTTTACGACACCACCTCTGAATAAGACATTAGGTAAGCCCTCGACTTTTAAACAAATTCTCCTTGTCAGCACCGTAGGAAGTGTAAATAGAACAGTATGGTGAATGTGCATGCAGGTAGTAGGGTGTAATGTGTCGATAAAACGACTAATGCTAGGCATGTGGATCGCATAATAAAGCAAAGGAACATTTGAAAAAACAGAAGTTTATTCGAAAAACAATTCAAACTGGCGTGACCGTATAAAATGGGAAGGCTGAAGTAAATATTTTACACTCCATGAAGCTGATTTTTTGTTTATTCTACATGCAGCGTACATCACATGCGAAAGCTCAATTCTATTTTCAGACTAGGCTATTACCTCCTCATCAAAACTGTAGTCCTCCCTTTGACAGAACGAGTCTATTTTTTTTTAATCTCAACTTGACTCAAAGCAATGCGTCAGAGTGCATTATATCAAAATCAGCTTTTTCAGTGCTGAGCTAGGTTGATGTATTTAGGTGAATCGCCCTTTGAAAACATCCGCGAGTTGAAGTTGTGTAACAGAAGGGATTCCTATGAAAGTCTAGCATGATCCTTTGAAAACATAATTTTGCATTTCATAAACAACTTCTAATCCACGGCCCCTTCGTATTTTCTTCTAACTTTTTTATAACATATTTTTTAACGATGATACTAGGTTAAAATTGCTTTAACACCTGAAGTAGATTCCTCGTTCGAAATAATTATTTCCGCCTATATAATAAGGACCCTATAATCTGGCGAAATCTTCTCTTTCTGTCCTACGAAGCTTTTACACAATGAGATCTATATCAGTTTCTGAACAAGTAGTTGTTTCATGATTTAATGGTACAATATCATTTCCATTACTTGAAAGTTTTCAGCCATATGCAGACTCTAAACTGCTTTTAGTAAACAATTTTTCCACTGGAAGTGAGATCAAAAATCGAGCTAACTTAAATATCTTTTCTCTGTTGTTTAATTCGGCGAGAGAGGCTCTCTTTCCTCTCTGGAAGTCTCCATAAATTTGAATCCTCGAAGGGTGTGCCACATCGTAACCGGTTTGTCGCGTTTTGTGGTCACGCTTGACCAATGCGCATCTTCGAGTCCAGTCGACTCTGCGCTGAAGGTGACTTCGCCAAGACTGGAACTTTTACCCATAACGTTGTAATGATTGACAGAGATTTTCAATGTGCAACTGATAAGCTTCTCTCCAGGGATACGGAACAACAGAGCTTCGTTAAAAACCGTGTAAATATCACCGATTTCCTGCAAACTCGTTTTCCTCTTACCAATTTTTTGATTATCGTGAAGTAGAGTTGCTTTTGTGTATAGCTTCTCTGAAAAAAAATTAAAGAGAGAGCAGTGTTATATGACGTTGAAACAATAAAAACCTCCGAAGACCATTTGTATATGCAAGCTTGCACCCTAACAATCTTAATTACTAAATAATCTTCAGAGTGCAGTAATACCGAAAAAATAACTTAAAAAAAGGATGAGAAATAGTTCTCCCACTTTACTTCATCTAGGTATATAACTTTGAAATCGTTTTACAACAATTTTCGTTAGCTTTTAGTAACGTTTCGTTTATAATTATCCAGAACACCTGAGAGGGGGGGGAGGGGGGGGGGAGGTTTAGAGGATTGGTCCCATACGATTTTCGTTCTTTTGTGCTACTTTTTTACATCACCATCAGAGTTGCATTTCATTCCGAATGATAACAGGGTGAAAACTTACCAACAGAAGACAGCCGTCCTTCTGCTAGGTTCATACCCTTCATTATGGCAACCGTGAGAGTCTGGCTCTTGGAGACGTAACACAAAGACAGCAGCAGATCACCACACTCTGAAGTCACAAGACTCTGTAATGCCCCCACTAAGGTGGTGTACTAAAAAAAAGAAACATGGAAACACATGAAGGTAAAACCACTATTCTGTCCTGTTGTTGTCATGAAGAGGGCAAGTAACCTATCGATTTTCGGAAAAGGTGCTCACGCTCCCATTCCGTTGAATATGGATCTGTACAAATCTTGCTTAGAGCTAACACTAGTGATTAAAATTGACTTTTAACAGTAATCTAGGCTGAATGCAAACAGATAATAAGTCGTTCAAGGAGATACAGGATCTTTGGCCATGTTTGCACGAACTCGAAGATAGAGACAAACAAAGGAGAAAATGAAAAAACATTATTGTTCTCGACCTGCATGTAACTCTGTTTTTCCAAAACAGGCCAGACAAATACGGAAGCGTAAAAAGTGAACTTGGAGTTACAAACTTCCACCCCAAAATAAAACAAAGTATTTAAGCTGGCATTAAAAAAAAAGAAAAAAAAACTGATACGTCAGAATAACAACACTCACCGAACCATAAGGATGGTCTAGATAGCACCAAACAATGGTTTCACTTGAAAAGTCACAATATATGAGAGGCACGTAACACTGCCCTAAAACATGGGCGTGCGAAAAACTATCGTAAAAGTACGTGATAAGAAGAAGGCTATGTGCATGAGTGTCTTCACCAAGTTGAATATTGAAAACAAAATTTTCGTTGTACTGAGGGTTCATAGATCGCCTATGAATTGCAGTTCGCTTCCGTCGTTCACGGTGTGGGAGTACACAAACTGTCACGCAAGTGTCGATAGTACCAGAGAAGTCACGCGGTGGAAAGTCTTTACCGTTGACAAGCGTAACAGAGAGGTTTCTGGTTTTCCCTTTGTATTTGAGGATTAGATTTAGTTGCCCAAGTTCTTTGTCCATGCCTATCCGCACCGTTCTCTCATAGTTCTGGTACAATTGAGGATTCAGTTTGCCAATTTCTTTTTCTTTGAGATAAAAAGATACCAACCTATACACAAGAACAGAATAGGTGTTATTTTGACCACACTTTATTGGAATAACGTGGACGAGAGGTTGATTCAGGTGAACGAGTCAATCAGTCAGTTGAACATTCAGTCAGTCACTGAGGCAATAAGTTGATCAGTTGACAGTCAATTAATTGATCTGTCAGCTTGCAACCCAATCAGTGAGCCCGTTGGTCATCCAATCGGTTAGTCGAGCGACTAACCAGTCAGTCAGCCGGTAACTCATTCAGTGAGCCAGTCAGCCAGTTGGTCATTCTTGTCAGTCAATTAATCAGCACCACTCGTCAGTCAGGTTAGTCAGTCAGTCAATCAGTTAGGCAATCGAGCTACCTGTCGATCACTTATTCAGGCGGTCAGCTAGTTAACTAGTCGATCAGACAGCTAGTCTGCTACTTAGTAAATTTATGATTTATCTTTTAGTAAACCAGTGACTTAGCAGTAAAAAGCTGAATTTATCACTTACGAGAGGCGTTTATCCGCAGTAGTCTTTCCAGTCCTGCCTTGTGAGAGATCTGGGTATGGCTGCTGTATCATACAGCTGCGGGACGATGGAATAGTAAACTGCGGTGACATAACTACGCCCTCTCCTGATCTAAAGGATCCGGAGCGTTTGACAGGCGCGCTTCCTTTCCTTTGTTCTGCGCGTTTTGAATGTCTCTTTTTTGATTTCCTCTTCCATCGCGGTTTTTTCCAAAGCTTACGGCATAATTTCCCGAGATATTTACAAAGGGCACCAAGGACAAGAACACTCGATGCCACAAATAAGATAATCAGTCCTTCACTCAGACTCAAGATCGAGTCAGTGTAACTGTCACGGTGCACATCTGAAATTCTGGGCATTTTCTTATCATTCACACGGATGTCGTAGAAATGGGGCGTAACGCAAGGAGAGCGTGACGTTTAAAGAAGTCATCCTTTATGTTCTATTACCTTCCTGCGAAGGCCTGTATTGCTGAAAAACGAGATAAAACAGGAAAAGGAACATTTAATCATAATCAAAGAAACTGGTTCTTCTCATGAGATCTTAGAGAGAGAAACAATCTCAGGGTGAAAGCAATACGTAGAGAATTGACGACTCATTCATCATTTACCACAACCTTGGAAACTGACTTACTGAAAAAAGGCCGATAGTGGGTGAATTTTAACAAAGGAAATTCCAACTGTTGTTTTGGTGTGTCTTGTTGTTTGTTCATATCCACTGAACAAGTCTTTTTTTTTCTTCGACGTAATATTCGTGCCGAAACCTGGCCTGTGAACCACAATACCTAAGTCATAAGCAAGGAAAATACACTATTTTAGCTACTTTCTCCTTTTGTTTCAACTTGTATAGATCTATTTCAATACAATCTGTGAACACTCTCAAGATCTGAAAGACTGAGGAAAACTTGGCCAAAGATATGACTTAACGGGCGAAAACCAAAGAGTCTTCTTGAAGCCGGAATTTTTGACATGGAGCAGTTATCTTTATAATAAATTCAGCTTGAATTTAACAGCAAAATCCACAAAGGTCGCAAAGAACAAATTTCCTCTAAAAATGCGCGGAAACAAGTTTTGTGTAAAACTGTAGCGTGAAAAATTGAAGTGGTAATAGGTCTTTTAATCTGCTGCTTTCTCATAAGGGCGAAAGTCGAACCGCTTGCCTGTTTGTTGGAACTGAATTGCAATTCAAATTCCAAGTTGCTGCAGGGGCTGCTACTCAACAACACCTACTATTCTAAGTTCAACAATCAGATGAGTGTTTACCACAATTTCCCGATTATGGCTCCCGGCGATAGCGGTGAATTGCCTCGATGAAACACGTATTTCCGTCCGTCGCCAACGGAGTGTAATCATAAATCATGCAAATTTTGCTTATGGTACAACGGATTAACTGACAGGAATGTCAGTTCAATTGAAATGAGATCCTTTAATACTTGGCATGAAAGTGAATTCCCCTAACTACTAAATATTCCGTTCTGAGTTATTTCCGCTTACTGTAGGGCATCTTGAGCGTAGAAGCTACAACTGTTGCCGTAGTTTGGGTTGAGAAAATGTGAGCGAATATACGAGTTTTTTAATAAAGGAAGAGGAATTCAGATACAAGATACAAAGATGTTGTATCCAAAGATACAACAAAAAAGTACGGTGATACGAAAGATCAGAAACTCGGGTTTGCGCCTGAAACATTAAATAAGCGCCCTCTCCCTCTGTGGCACCTTATTTTCGAAAGGAATACCCATGTGGGTACCTAGGTCTTTCGTAGGATGGTTAGGGATCATTTAGTTAGCCAGATTCAATTAGCAACATAACTGATGCTTTGTCAGCAGAGTGAAGGTTAAATTGGATCCAGTTTTGGACTGTTGTGCTGTCGATCACACTTATAGAGTTTGAGTTAATTAGAAATTCGGAAAATTTCACACTGGCCCGTAAATTTGAAAAATGGAGAAGTGAGCCCTCTAAACGACATGAAATATGCAATTAATAGAGGATGAGATCAGAGCGCCAAGAAAATTTAAGCGGCACAACGGCCCCTCTTCCCCTTCCCCGCCTCCTTCCTCCTCCAATTGAAGAAGAAAGGAAATATAAAAAAATTTACTGTTGACTTGCAGATGTGTTTGTCTGTTTAGACTAACGACAGAAAAGAGTGATGTCGAGACTTTTTCCTATAAAAATAAAGATTTAATTGCAACTACGGAAAATAGGGCGTCATACTTGCGTTTTGTGAAATGACTTTAAGACCAGTCAGGAAGAAATGTGAATCAGCTCTGATGTCTTACTTTTTTTCTCTTTTTGTCAGAATTCCAGTTTTTTTTAAAAGAGTGCAAGGTTTCGTGACGAGAGGAACGACGATACCCATAAGTAATCGAAGCTTCATGGGCATGATGCCGAGACTAACGGCAGATTTTAAAATAGTTTTGGTGTTTAATGATATTGCCGCCGTCCGTCTGCCATTCTCTTAAATTCGTAAGGTCATTTGGTAAAGTAAATGATCCTGAAGATAAAAACATCGATTTAAACAATACTGTAACAATATGAATATTTCGTCGTAAGATCAGGAATATTAGAGATCAGTTTTTTTTAACTCACGAAAATTACGAAAATAACAAACTTAATTTCTGATATTTATCACTTCTACAATTTTCAGCTCGACTTTACAGTAGTGTTTGTAGAGTGGCAATCATGAAATTTCGAAAACAGTTCACCCACCGTTCGATTCACAGAAATTCATGTATGGGGAAAAAAATCCAGGAACCGCCCGCGGTGAAATGAGTGCTGATTGAGGCCTGTTATGTCGGCTGGCCACGCCGCCGTGTCACACCTTTTTATTTGCCGATGTCGCCCAAAAAACAGAGTAAGATTCGTCCTACTTCAGTGGGTGTTGAAATGTCGCTGTCGCCCAGTAGTTTGTACTTTTTTCGGCCTTGAACTTAAGTGATGGGGAGCTACTGACTTGAAGCAAGTTGTTCGTAATTTAGGATCCTGTCTAGTCTGCTACTCCTCCTGCATTGTTTCTAGAAATACTCTGGGTCTGGTGATCGCGTGAACCTATTTTTGTCCACTGTACTGCTGCCAGTCTGGTCTGTTTTATTTTCCTTTTTTTTTTCAGTGCTTCTCGCGTCGCTGTCTAGTTTTGAGTAGTAACCTAATGGTTTTTCGTTGATAAAAGAGTTCGCTACAAGATGTTTGACTGAGGTCATACGGCTTATCGCTAACTGACCCCTTGTTAGGCTTTGAACATTAAAAATGCGTTGTTGTTTCCTAACTTGAATTCATAATCTTAATTCAAAATATAATACAGTTCAAGTGCAAATTAGCGCCAATGATACGTGATTTCAAGGAAGTGTTGTTGATCCGGCTAACATTTTTCCAAATTGTATAGCCGTGAGCGGCTACTGAAACATTTAGACATCCGACTGGTAGGTGTCGCTTCAATACTGACGGCCAGACGCTGTCCAAAGCAGTTCCTAAATGACAGCGAGTCAGGCTAGCCAAACAGACAGTAAAACAGGTTACCAAAAGGACAGAGTAAGAGAACAGGGTTTCTCACAGACAAAGTAAAGCTGACCGGCCAACGACAAAACAGGTTGTCTCAAAGACTGCAAATAATTGCCACAAGATCTGAAATAATCCTTGCTGGTAAGCTGCAATCAAATAAATTGCAGTAAAGATGTTCACACTTCGACGAGACTGGAACTTTGCAGTACCGATCAAAATGCTTCCGGGGAAGGATGACTCACTTAAATTCGCCTCGCTCTCAACATGTGACTTCGTACCTCAGATTGCGGTAATGCCAACTGGTTTCTGGGAGGCACGAGTTCATATCCCGAAAATACCTTAATATTTTTCAGTCTCCTTTTCTTCAAATTGTTTTAGTCAAAGCCCACCTGCGTGGATCATTTTTTTGTTTCATCCGCAGGTCAAAATACCATTTTTTTTTCATTAAATTGCGAAAACAACCTCTGGCACTAAATTGTTACTTAACCGCAGCGTATGTCATCCATAACAAAAACAACTGAATGAAACGTTCACGAAAATACAGCGAAATGAGATATTCGAAGGTAAAAAAAATCTAAGGATTATTTTGGCTTTCAAGCCATCTTGTGTTAACTTGATATAGAGATTCTATTGTCAGTATCAACTTTACATAATCAGCCAGTGACGTGGTGGATTAACATAATGCGTGCGGTAAAGCCACATTGTTCGTCTGCCATTTCTATTTTAAGACCCGTATTAAATTAAAGCGTGTCTCTTCGAACAACGGGGCTAACTTAGGTCTTTGACTTAGCGCCAATATCAGCAAAGGTCACCTCGATATAGGCACCGTAAGTGAGTGATGTATGTCACACGTTGATTTTAGCACGATCTTCATTCAGAGCCAAGCACAAGCTGTAATTTTAATTTCATTCAAATCAGTGACTTAAATCTGTGTGAATTTGGTTCAGTCGAGGCAGTGTTGTTCCTTCGCAGCGATGACTTACGCCGGCGACACACGCAGCGCTGATAGTCTAGATGTAGTCCTCGTCGCTAACAAACGAAAGCCTAACTTCACGGAAGGAGAAAGCTTGTTCTTAATCTCTCAGTTTGAGCGAAACTCGGAAATACTCACCTCGAAGTTGAACGATGCGACTACCAACAAACAAAAGGTCGAGGTGTGGAAGCGCATTTGCAGAGATTATAACAGCAAGAATCCGATCGTCCTACGTACTGCTAACGATTTAAAGAGAAAATGGAAAAACATGGTTCGCGCAGCAAAGAAAGAACTCCTGGAATCTACCGCAGATTCAGAAAGTGGCGAACAGGTAACGCCAAGGAAATTGTCACCAGTGAGTGAAAAGATTATAGAGATATTACGCATAACGGCCTCTAATTGTAGAATCGGGGAGGGAGCAGGGATGAGTATCGATCGCAGTTTGGCCACAACCGATCAGTTAGAGCAAGCTTTATTGGAGGACGGAGAACAAGAGGAGGGGGAGGTTGCCGAGCAAAATGAAGAGCAACGAATCGTGCATGTCGTGGCAAAAACCGGAGAAATAGTTTCCCCAACCTCAAACAATGAGCAGACCGTAGAAAACACCCACCAGGAAAATACCAACGGAGAAACAGCCTGTTTCTCGGCTTTCAACTCACTTACTCCGAGTTCGAAAGATCAGGAGAAGACCCCATGTCAGGTTTTTCCAAACAGTAGCGGAATTCATGGTTGTGCTCCCGTTCCCATGAACATTGTCTCCTCTTTTCAGGAAGTCGGGAAGTTTCCGAGTCAACATACTGTGATCGCAGCGAACGCTTCTATAAGCGGAGGAGGTAGACATCGCATTCTTATCCCGCAACAGAAACGTATGCTTTCCTCTCCGCTGGCGCACGTGATCAAAAGGAAAAGAAATTTCGAATATGGGAATGAGTCACCCGGCTCGCACGTGAGAGATGAAATAGAAAAACTCAAGAAGGAAAAACTCTTACTAGAGAAGGAAAAGCTGGCTTTGGAAAAGGATAAATTGATGATGGAGAAAGAAAAACTTGCTCTTGAAATCCAGTTCCTACGCGATCAAATAGATACATAGGGGAATGTCACTTCCGCTCGGCTTTGGAAAAAAACAATGACTGTCGCACAATGATCACAACAAAGAGTTGTTTTCTAAGAGCTAGGGTTGTCGTTAATAGAAAATCTTTTAATCCTTCGGTTCAGTGTAAGACTAGTTTGGGAAATCTCATTTCAAACAATTTTAATCTTTGTGAAACGGTTGCGAGAGACTGTTGGGTTATCAGCTTGTTTGTATCTTTACTAGAAAAAATTACAGTGTTCCTGCACCATCTATTTTTGAGTTTCATAATGATGACTAAGAACCCAGGATATTTTACGGAGACCTTGGCTTTGCACTCTGCTGATCGTAGATTTGAGAAACTCTTGCAAAATACTCCCCGTCAAACATAACAAAAGAGCACAACTAAGCGGGAGAAATCTGAGATTGAGATTTAGGCAATGTTGTAAAACTTTTTTAAAATTCTCTTTTTCTAAAGACTGAACATTAAAGATGATTCTTGACCAATGACTTCGCGACAGGAGACAATTACATCAAGACTATTGCGGAAAGGCACCAAGAACAATTCTTCTTGCGTTTCAATTGCAGCTTTTTATCAATTCTTGATATAGTTTTTATAAATATTTTTTATTTCTAGGTATCTTTTATTTTACTGAACATAGTCTAATTTACTACTTTGAACCTAAGTTAGGACCTTTCCTGAAAACCACAGTGATGTGATGAAAGTTTCCCAATAAAAGATTGTGATCGGCAACAATGTTAATCCTTAGAAATAATTCCAACCCGTGCAGTTCCATTTTACGTCCGTGCATGCAGAACTGGTCTATAATTTTACACAGATTTTTTGTGTTTGTTAAATGAATAAAAAAAGCTAATATAAAGTAATGATATGTGGTTGTTTGTTTCGAGTTTCCTTTCGAGTTCTGGCGAACAAAAAATAACGGCGATTTTTTCTCATGTCGATAAATTTGTAACCAAAGCTTTCTAGTTGCGTGTATAATCGAGGTTTAGCTGATCTGATTTAACTTGCATCGAAGACATAATTGAATGCAAAGGAAATATTATGTCGTTTTTGGTTGCAAATATTGGCACCTTATTAAAAACGTTATCATTAACTTGAGCTCGAAAATGTTACCAGATATTTAATATCGACTACATGCCATGAAGAGAATATTACTTCTGATAGTTTAGTTCGGTAATTTTCGCCAAACAGGGACTCAGTGAATTTAAAAGATCAGAGAGAAATGCCAATGAAAACTATTCCCCGTTTTTGCGCGTGAATGGTTGTTATCCGAAGCATGTATTTGACGATGATAGAAGGTTCAAAATTAACAATTATACAAATAACTGATCCAGTTTTGCTCGACAAAAAATAGACTCCTGTGGAATAATCACCTCAGTATGGTTGAAAATAGCCGAGAAAGTGAGCAACATCCTCAAATCATACCGTATAATAGAACGATTTAGCTCGTCTTTCAGAGACTGCTCGGCGACCCATGCACGCTATTGTTATAAGATTATGGATTCTTCGGACCATTAAGTCTGGATGTCTAGCCTAGTAAATGATTGTTCTACCATGCATGTGGCCGTTAACTGAAGCGTTCAAATGCTTAACGGAAACACTAAATTTCAAATCTTTTCCTAAGCGGTTAGAAACTGGTTCACTTCCATGTACACGAGCGACTTGAGTTAACAATGTTTGTTCAAGGTATGAACTCCCAGCGAAATTGTGTGCAGAAATATTTCAGAATGAAACTCATTAACTCAGGCAAAACTTTGAAAGTTTAATAAAATTGAGAATAGGAAAGAGTATTTCATAATAAAGTAGCATGTTTCTAAACGAAAGAGAATAAAATTCTGCACGCGAAACTGCGTAAGAGCATAATTGTAAAAACCATCCTAACAAATCAAAACAAAGTTGGTAAGGAAGACATTAGTTCATGCACTTACTTGAGAAGGTCGACTTTCTCCTTGAATAATTTGATGACATGAACTTCTTCCAATTTCTTTCTATAATCTTTTGCCCCCTTTTATGCAACTTTACTCGCGGCTCAGACCACGAACGTTTAATGCTGAGCGTCAACTGTTCATCTCGGTCAAATTTTTAAATACATATTAAAATTTTTAATTGTTAACGGTGAGTGTTCTGGAGTCACGCTTGATCGCCCAACTGACACGAATTGCCTTTGTGTGTTAATATTTACATTTTTCGCAAAAAACTTGGAACAAAGACATGGACTGTCCATTACTTTAAGTAACACCGGAATCCACAAAATTCTTATTAATATTTAATGAAACATCTGTCTGATTTTTGTTCTGCTACACGACTAATTACCTCCAAAAAATCTGAAATACGCAATGTCAAAGTCTTCGCAGGAAAATTAATTTAAGCAGTTCAAAGCGTGATTATAAGTTGATGAACATAAACGAGGACCAAAATTTACAAGTCACTAGCATGAGTTCATAAAGGCTCTTTAAACAGAGTTCACAGTTAAACGGCTCAGACATTATTTCAAAGGAAAAACTTTTAGCGTCAGAAATATTGTTATCATTATTCATAACTTCCCCAAAACCTGAAATGCAAGATCAGTGTCACCTGAGATCACAATCGTCGTTCGAGTCTTTGTGAAATGTCACAACACATTACTTTACTAAGTCAAGTTAACAAAGAGCGTTACGTAATTCTTCTGGGGCGCTGGAAAACAAACAATATGTTTAGAAATTCTTTGTCGCTGTTTAACTCCTTTCAAGGTGGTCCGACATAAAAACCCAACTGATTTTATTTATATTGTACTAAACGAACGACAACAAAAAAAAAAATTAAGATGTTCGCTTTCTTAAGTGTACATTTGAATCGATATCTGACCACGAACTTCATTAACGTTCGAATTCGAATCCATAATGAACTGATTCGTTTGGTATTTGAGCTAACTGTAGCAATAGCTTATCTTCTAAAAAAAAGAACGACAAAGATTTGTGTTCAAGAAATTAGGGTGAAAATTTATTTAAAGTGACACAAGTGATGCTTAAAAAGTAGTACTCTGGGATGCGTGAGTTGTACCCTTCAGTAAAAAAAATCAACCCAATTGAGATTTGTTCATTTACGTTTTATCCGCATCTCTCACAAGTTTGCCTTTTTTCACTTGGAGTTGTTCCATCCCACTCTCTGGTTTGCCGTTGTAATCGTTTTGGTTTTGGTTTAAAGACATCTTAAAACGAAACTTAGTCGAAATTCCTGATAACTGTAAACTCTGTTGCAAGTCAACTAAGGTCCTGTAATCAGCATATGTAAGTATTAGGGACACCGACGCCCAAAGGGGTGTTACTGGGGAGTGATTAACAGACCTGACCAGAGATCATCCTCCAATGCCACGAGAAATTCATTCCAGAATAAAGTACTGGCTACTGATGAAATCTCCTCCAACCTCCTTGCTGTTAGCAAATACATCCTATACTAGTAGCCGTGCTCTTCGATTCCCTTATCCATGATGATATGCCGGGGCTATGCTTCAGTCTGGTCTGCGGCAGCCGTGATTTATTGGAAACACTGCCTAACAACACTTAAAAAGGTGGAGGAATTGTTACTGCTTACATTGGGTTAGAGGATAAGGGTCCACATCGTTTTAGTGAACATTTATTGCTGAAAGTTCACAACTGTGAAAAAATTTTCATTTCAGTCAGGGCAGTGTTCTGCTTGGGTAAATTAAGTACCAGCCGAGGTGGTCTGCGGTCCTGAAATCCCTACCCTACCCCCTCCTTTCTACCTCTCGTCGCGATATTTTAAGGATTCAGCAATCAAAGTGAATAATAGGTCTTCTTGAGGAAAAGGCTGCCTTATCTTCTGAAAGGTTCACACCGTCACTGATCCTAGCCCTAGCAAAATTCTGTGAACGGTTTTATCGCGTGGTTCTGCTCATATTAAGAATTTGGGGATCGTAACACATTCGTCTCTTCGAGCCAAATTTTATCTGCTCTCTCCGTGACTGAATTCTTTCGGGGACCTTTTTAATCAGTCACGGAAACCATTCATCTTGTAAATAGTTATAAGTTAGCTTTAATAATTACGATTGAGTTACATACCAATGATTGGCCCTTTGACCCCAATGAGTGATTAGCATCTTATTTCTCCTTACAACATCATTCCTGAATCAAACAATAAGGTCACGAGAATAAAGCAAATGATCACCAACTTTAAGAGCTCTTAATTGTAGAACAAACTCTCCTTTTCAGCACCTTTGGGAATGAGTGGAGAGGTATAGAGAATGTGCATCGCGATGTTAAGGTGTAAAAGGTAAAACTAAAACAGGATAGGAACTATCGGTTCCCTGTCGTTTCGTACCCAGCTTGGCTGATTCGCCCACGCGCGAGATATTTCGAATGTATATTGGGACGGATACGGGTCGACCGGCGGTTGGCGCACAGACCGACTCAAACTGAGCATAAATCGACCGAATTTGGATACGAAACGACTGGATACCAAACTAACATATTAACACATCTATTGTACTGACAGATTGTTTGGAATAGTTTGCCTAAACTGGGATCATAAACTTGTTTATGTCCATAAATTTTAGTCTCCTTTCACCATGATCAAATGAAGGCCAAGTGACTCTGTGACCTGTATTCCTAGGGTGAGGTTTAATTTATTTGGGAGGAAAGTTGCTCTATCTATTTCAGTTTGAACATTCTAACAGCAGTTTTAAAATGTGGTAAATGGTAAATACTGGCAAATTTTGTCCATCATGCAAAATATGCCAAAAATCCTAAAGTATACTTTAAGGATTTCCATATATGAAAGGCGTCTCATTTTTTTACCATGTTATCTTGAAGTTGATCACCACTTTGTAAAAGAGAAATTAAACCTAAAGTCTAAACATTTCCTTTTAACACCCTAACATCAATATGCATATTCTCTACACCATTCTGCATAAATTGCCTGAGGTATCGGCAAGGAGAATTTGTTTAACAATCAGGAGCTTCTTCAGTTGGTGATAATATTCTTTATCCTCATGACGTTGTGTGTGATTCAGTTGTGATATTGTGAGGAGAAATAAGATGCAAGGGTTTAAAGGTTACACTATTACTGCAACCTCAACCACATGTAACAAACCAGACTCTCCCATTAAGAAATATTACAAAAGGTTTAAAAGCATCTGCTAATCAGTGTGGAGCAATTTTAATACTTTGAATAACAACCCTGTAGGTATTTCGTCTTTTTATGCTTACTGTATTAATTAGAAGATCCTATTTAGGAAGACTCATCGTTACACTGGTATGAGTTCATCTGATACCTATGTTTTCAGTTGATTGCACTCAGAAAGTTTTTCTGGTTGGCAAAGTGAACTGATCATAGAGGTGAAAAAGAAAGAGAGTAACTTTAATATTACAAAGATATCTAAACAAATAAGTACAGCTATGAAATTAGAGGTGGCCTCCAAAAGCTTTTTGTGATTGAGTCAGTTTGCCTGCCCAAGACTTAAAACTGTTTTCAAACATACACAGCAATTTTACACAACTGAATGATGATTATTATTGATAGCTTTCATAACCAGGATCCTCGTCCACTGTCATAGGCTGAGACAGAATGATGATATTATCTGCAAAATCAAAAAAAGAAAATTAACAAAACCAAAGGTAGAAATTTTCCACATAAATGTTTTCCCAGTTGATGTAGTTTCTTTTGAAAAGCCATTTGTGAAAGTGTAGTTTGATTGTCCAGGTGAGTGTAGTCCTGAGAAGGACTGTTGTCAGTCGTGGTGACTGATGTTTTGACAACCTGAGTGAAAGTCATAGTCAGACTCCCCTCAGATGATGAATTCTGCTCAGGTTCAAACCATTTACTGTAGAAAGCAATTTGTTGTTCAAGTTTGTCTTATTTCTAATCTCATTTTTTCAAAAGGGAATGTAAAAGGTAAAAAAAATACAATACTAATGATCCTTTACTTTGAGTTACCTATTGGCAAAATACTGTAGCATGCCATAGTTTGTCATTGGAGCTGTTTCAAGCCAATTTGTGAAATGTTAATTTAAGGCAAACAATTGAAAGCTGTTTTCAAGTTGTCAATAAATTCTTACTGGGAATGATACTTGTGCTAAACCTCTTGATCCCTTCCTGGTCAACATAGTTGTTGTAGTCTATATGTCCTTCAACAAACACACGTGTTCTGGGAGTTAAACAGAAAATATGAATTTACACATAGAACAATATTAAGTAAAACAACAGAAGCAAGTGCTGAGAATAAATAAAAATACCAAGTAGGGGTTTCATGGTTGATACAATACCAATTCCTTTAAACTAAAACCATAAGAAATGTACAGCAAAGAGGAATATTGGAAAATTCTCCAAATCTGAATCAAAAAAACTGGCTGAGGCCTTCAAATTCAGTTAGAGAATTCTACATGATACCCAGAGAATTCTCTGATCTCCAGTTCTGTACATTGCACTGAAAGGGTATAACCACCAATACTTTCTGAAATCTTCACTGAGATCCTTAATTGAACAATGTTTCTAAGCTACCAGTAACTTTCACTTTAGTAGGCAATTCAGGGCTAGAATCAAAAGCTAAGGTTTCATGAATCTATAACTAAATCCATGATAGTTTTTTATGAAGAACTTACCCCTTTCTCACATAGCTGTTAACTGTATCTTGTAAGTAGGGTCTGAAAACTGTAATGTTGTGCCACTGTGTCCTACTCTCCAGTTTTTCTACAAAGCAAGGGAGTCAGATGAAAACAGTAGTTCCTATTGAAAGGACAATAAACATCATTTAAAAACTACATTTCAGCACTGGAATCATGTCAGAGTGACCTCAGATAATTTGTTGGTGTAGGTCAGAGGGATTTAATCAGACTGCATTGACAAGGCTTTTTCTACATCATTATTAGAAATGGTAATAGGACTAAGTGGACAACAATTCAGTAATTTGGCATGTGATTTCAAATTGGCCCAATGCATATCATGACACTGGTGTGAAATTTGCAAGTGTGATTACCCCTAAATTGTTTGACAAGTTCAATTACCAACTGTACCAATGACAAAATATGGGGAACAAAAACTTCAATTTAGGAGTATGGACCCTTCTTACTGATACTGAATCATAGTCATTGGACCAGTTCATTTGTATGTTTGTTATCAATGTTGATCTCTCAACCTGCTTAACTTAAAAATTCTTCTTCATTTTGAGTGGCTAGCATCAGCTAAGTAGTAAAGTTTTGTTGGCTCAGTTCACTTAAAATGCAAAAATTTTAGTTGGCTGCTTAACTGTCTGATTTGAAAGTGTTTGTAATCAGACGGGTGAAATTGGATAGTTTGGGCTTAAAAAAGCCAATTTAGCCACAAATAAGGGCTGTAAAGAACCACTTGGTTTGTTATTGACACAATTATGGGTATTGTATTAATTTATAAGCAATTTCTGAGTAAATCCATTAGAGAGACAAGGGGTACAGTAGGTTGCATTGGACTTCCTTGTCACCATAAACATAATCTTTAGAAATAAAAAAAGATAAAAAATGTGAATCTCTGTGATTAAAAAAAATACTTAATAATACAATTTTCATTCATTTTGTATAACGTATCAAGACTTTTCCTGGCAGCACTTTTCAAATGAAAGAAACACTTCAACCTTACACCTACAACTTTGCCTTCTGCCCTACAAACTCTTACATATCAGGAGGATAATACATTCCTTGTTTGGTCAAAAGTTGACTGACAAAGATACACCATTATTATTTACCTTCTCTTGATGTATAATATTGTGTTGTTGCCAAGCTAAACTTAGTTGGCTGGTAGTCTGCACTCCCTTTCACTGGATCACCTCCTGTATAACCAATCAACTGTACACTGTTGAGACCTGTGGGCATGAATGAAACAGCTTAGATAAATTTTTCATTTTGAAGGATATCCTGATAGTGGTGGCCTGATGCCTGCTGTTATGGACCCTGCATAGGAAGGTTTGGGTTTGACCTGTGGCCAGGGTTGTGATCATGGGTAAGACATGCCCTTTCATATTGCACCTTCTAAGCCAGGATACCAGAAAACTGCCACAGAGAAGATACTTCAAGTAGAAGAGTCAAACTGAACCGATTAGCATTCCAGTCAGAAGGATATCCTGTATACCCAGTTGCTTCATTCTTCAATAACTATGATAAGCTTCACGTGTTATTCAAGTCAGTCTTATATATCAGGGAGCTACAAATTTTGCAGTTTTGACACTTGTACTAAGGTATATTGCCAGTATCAAGGCCCCTCATTCACTTTGAGGTCCACCAAAAGTAAAGGTAAACCTTCACAAATTTGAATTTCGTTAATTAAACTTCCATCTAACATAACAATTTATTCAGCTTTTTTTTTCAGTCTTCTGCCACCAGCTGCCTTAGACTGCAAGTTACTTTCCGTTAGTTTCCCTTCAAGAATTAGAGTTAGTTATGTTCAGTTCCATTCTACATAATGAATGTTTTCAGGAACTAGTCCTCATAGTGATTTTAAGTGTACCAGTCCAAAGATCTGTGATCAGGCAAGTTCAAAGTGAAGCCAGAGATACAATATCAACCGCTGAACGTAATCCATAGCCGTCTTTTATGACGTGACCCAATCCTCTCATTGGAGAAAATTAAACCCTCTGAGGTGGGGGAAGAGGAGAGTTCAAACTGATTGCTTTAAACGCTTCAAAATAATTTGATTTCAGAGATTAAAGGCTACGATATTTATTGTATTCTATCTTAAATGAAGTGAGGATTCCAATGACGAGCACACCATTTGCAACATGCTGACTTACACTTTCCGCTTCTCCGAGGCACTTCTCCTTCACATCGTGTGGCGATTCGTTTAAGCTGAAAAGAACAACAAAAATTTATCATAAAATATTCTCTCAAAACCCAGGAAAGAGTATAACTTGGTAAAGGTACAAATATTCCCCATCTTACCTGCACGAGACCTTGTCGACGAAACATGCTTGCAGAGTGTCTGATCATTTGCTTTGTAACCTCGCCTCACTTACTTTCCCGCGCAGTCTAACCTAGTTTATTCCACAAATCACGGCTTTTTATATGGATATCAGTTGTATGAAGGACTCATAGACCATTTGCACGAAAGGAAGGTTTACTCAAACATATCAGAGAACAATTTTCAGCCAAAATGGCTTTGTAACATCTTAAATCTCTATTTCCTCACAGCTACCCCGTAAAAACAAAACACTCCAGAGCACTGCGTTAGTCTCCAGTCTACCGCACTCAAATTGGAAAAGGTGTTACCATTTGTTACCATAACAACAACGACCCGCCATGTATGTCCGAAACTGACCGAAATAGGCAGCGAACAGATTGTGGTAGTAACAGCAATATTTTGCCTCCTGAAAATGTACGATCGAGCCCCAAGGTCACTTACGAAACCAACAGACAGTACAGGTCAGAATGTTGGGCCAGGATCGTATGAAGCCGCGGAACATGGACGCACAAAACACGGTATGGTTTAGAAACAGCAGAACAAACTATGCATGTTTAGTCCAGCTGTGTGGTGAATTGAAATTTTGTACTTGGTACAGCGTAAAACTCAAAACTCACCTTTCAGTAAAGAAGCAAGTGTATTCCGAAAGATGTGAGTACAAACCCACAACATGTAGCACTATAAATCGACTCGTAATCTTCTTACTTTACCAATATGTATGTGCGTGTGGACTAACATTGTTACCTTCAACACTTCCTCAAAGTAATCGGGAAGAAAAATACCATAGGGACGTTACAGCACCCTTAACAGCTAAGCAGCAGTAATACCAATAGATCAGAGGTAACTTCTTAGCTGCCCATAAGAACTCACCCGTAAATTGGGCTGTTTCAAGCATGCCCAATATGTAAGGTGTATGTAGGAGTTGCGTTATTGTTTGTTTCAGCAGTTGCTTCATCTACAACAACGACTTAATTTGACAAAATACTTACCGACCTGCTACAACCACTGAAACAAACTCTTCAGGTTGTTGAAACATTAGTCACTACCACTGACAACAGTCCTTCTCAGGACTACACTTATCCGGACGATCAGACTGCACAATGAAAATAATGTTATCTCCAGGTTCAAACCATTAACTGCATTGTTTATTTTGACATTTAAGGCTGGTCTGTGTTCTAAATTGGATCTTAAAATGTAGGTAATAATTTCGTTGACTTGAAAAATTGAAGGCCAATTACCCAACTTTTGTGATCTGCAGATGGATACGCACCATTCTTATCCATGACGGCACGTGAAACATTTCTTGATGTTGGTGACAATGTCGTGGCTGCACCAGGACCTGGCCAGTATGATCCTGGTATAATGGGAGAGAGAGTGAGGGGAGGACACACGCTGGCCAACAGAGTGAGTACTGTGTTTTCATCAATCTTGTCAATTTTTTCTTGTATGTGATTAATATTTCACCATAATCATATATATCTCCAGAAAACTACTTTAGAGTGATGTTAGGAATGTTCACACTGCAAATTCATGCCAAAATCTGAACGAAGAACTGAATGTGTTTAAACTAAAAGTTGTTTGTTGGAATGTTCTTTTGAATATGTATTGCATGCTCTGTAACTGAATCGAAATCTTTACAACCTAGTTGGATGGTCTGTTGGTCTAATTTTTTTAGTTATTTTATTGAATTCTTAATACATGTTGTTTGTTGGTTCTGCATGTGGATAGTGGGTATAGCAAATGGTTCAGTGCTAACTATTGGTTTGTCCACTTTTGAAGTTGCAATAAATTGGCTCAGCATCACTGAGAAATTCAGAGAAAAAATAAAAATGATAAATTTATTTTACCATGATGAGATGACTTCCAAAGTGCACATATTTATCTTAAATACTGCATATATATTCTCATGCAATGTATGAATTGAGACCTCATCTATCATTACAGGCTTCTAGATTCAGTGATAAACAATCTCATACTCCTGGGCCAGGAGCTTATAACTTACAAAAAAGAAGTGATTGGTTGAGAGAGAATCAGCCTCAAAAGGCACTACCTCCTGATATACAAGTTCAAGAAGGAATGAAAGATGGATCTGTAAGTGGCAGAGATTTTGTTATAATATGTCATGTTGAAAAACAGTTTTTAATTGATACTGAAACATTCATGTTTTTTCTGTGATAAACCAAATATAATTACTACCTGCCTGGATTTGATGCAAGTTGCTGTTATTGGTTTCATGTTGTTGATGGGTGAACAACTGACCCCTTGATTTGTGTGATATTTAATTCAAACATCAAGCTTCTGGCTATTCCATTCTGTTGCCTAGTTCAAAGTGTAATGAGATGAGAGCATTCTTGGGATTGCATCTGACCTAAAATAATGTGTAAAACTTGACAAGGATGACTCTTCACTTGACAAAAAATACATAATTATACAGTATGTATTAACAGCAATATTAGCAGAAAATAATTTTAATAATTATACTCATCTGAATGTATGTTTTTATAGCTATACAAGACAAGTCGCATAACATTTCAGAGGAAGGCTGACCCACCCTCCATTCCATCACCTGGCAAAGCATATGGATATGAAGAAGGAGCAGATGGAACTCTACGGCCACAGGATGTGCCGACTCGCGACAGCACCATGGGACCTGCTTATTATAGTGTTAATCACGTAAGCATTAAATTTTAAGAAATTAGAATCAGAGGCTATGATTAAAAAATACTAACAATTAATCAAATGACTAGCTGCAATACAATGCATACAGAGATGGTTAAAAAAATGTAATATTTGCTTTCAAATTATTCTCATAAAAAAGAGACACAAACTGAGATCAATAGAGCAGTCTATAGAGTTATAATTACTAATATAGTCATGTTTTTTAGATTTTTTTACATTTATTTACAATTTTAACTTTTCATTTAGAGGGAAACTGCCACTGTTCAAAGATACAAGGGAGTTCATTTTGGGAACAGAACATCAAAGAGAATGCAATTTAAAGGTTGGTCTGGTGTTAAGATGGACATGTACAGTATGTGAGAAACTGTGCTCTGATTACTTAGAAGTCCTGAGAAGGTTAATGCTCATTGCTACTATCTTAAGGTAGCTTTAATTTTTTATTACACTTTTCTTGCTTGAAATTAAATTGTATCACACAGGTAATGAAACCGTTTATGTATTTCTCAGGAACTGGAGGACCAGGCCCTGGACAGTATGATCCATTTAGGGACCCTGGAATTAGAGCACCGATTGATTTGGTAAGTTATGAAATGAGTAGTCAAACTTATAAATTTAAAGTAGTTGTAGCATTTTTCTTGCTATGTGAGTGTGTATAAAGAGAAATAAATCAAAAATAGTGGAGAATAGTTTGGAATACTTTAGGTAGATTTCTCCAAAAGGAAAGAATTATGAAAGAAATACTGTATGTAAATTAATTATGAACTTTAAGAGTCGAAAGTCTGCATTTTAGTTTAGTGTTCCACATTTGCCAGAGCTCAGCTCTCATGAAGTAACTAGGACAGTTGTCTCTACCGACACCCAGAGATGAACTGCTACTTTATCAATGACTACCCACAAGCCAGGCGGTGTGCACACTGCAATTGTGTTGCATTGTGGTAACTTCATTTTTAATATGGCAATGAAAGCAGCAGAAAGCAGCAGAAATCAGCAGATTTTGACTGAACATTCTGTAAAAGTTAGGCCGTTCCTTTTCCTTTAGCCATAGGTAAATGTAATTTTTCACGAGGGAATAACAGGAGTCGTGCAAGCCTGCAAACACTTTTTAATGTTCAAAGGAATGGCAACAGGCAGGGAATCCCCATTACATTCCATGTTTATTCACGCTATCCCCCTGCCACCAGAGATGTTCACTCTACTGCAACAGGATGCAAATGACTCACTTTTCATTTTATGACAATGATGCAATGTAATCAGAGTGTGCACACCACCTGCCCACAAGCTATTGATCAGGTTTCCCTGGCAGGTGGCTGCTAACTATTATCCCTCCACACCCAAATGTGAATATGCATATTCTCCCTACTGTTCTGTATACATTTCTCAAGGTGCTGACAAGGAGAATATGTTGAACAATCATGAGCTTCTTTAGTTGGTGATCATTTCATTTATTTTTGTGACCGCAATGCTTGATGCAGGAGTGATGTTGTAAGGGGAAATTAGATGCAAGTCAATCTTAGGAATCAAAGGGTTAACAGTTAACATTCCTGAGTGAAGAAAGAGTCTCTGTGAGATCGAGTAAAGTATGTTGCTGAAGATTTTTTACGCATAATCATGATATATTTACTTCTATTAATGTTTTCTTTTCAACTGCTAGGTGATAGAGGAAAGCAGAAAGCAACCTTTTGAATCAAAGGTAACATTTTCAATAAAGCTAACTGTTAGACAAAAAATTATACCGTATTTAAGGTTCAATTATGAATAAAAGAAACGTCATCAAAAAAAGTCAGAGTTGACACTGGCATATTATTGATAAAATAGTGAGTGTAGATGGAAGCTTTATAGCTTTACTTTGGATATGTAATAATATGGTCAACATGTATAATTTACACACCAACAATAAAATGACAAAGAATGATTTATTTTTTTCTTTAGTTACCCCGATATCATGAATCTATAGTGGTTGTGGAAGAAAAGAAGGTAAGAAATTATGACCTAGTAAACTTTTCATGTTCAAAAGTTTTGCTGCAAAAGAAATATGTCACTAATGATCATGATAACTAAAATATAATTCTAATAATTAATTCTGTAATTACCGTATCAATAATTAGTACTGAGTCATGATGCAGCAGCTGCCACTTGTTGGTATTAAAGAAATATAGTACATTTAGAGGCACAAAATAATGTTAAATGCTTGGTAAACACTGAAAACTTGACTGTGTGCTTGTGCTTGCTCTGGTTGTCCAAAGGTTGGATAATGCTATCCACTGGATTAAACGCTATCTGGTGAATAACTCTATATGTTTTGCTGTCACTTATTGGCTGGATAGTGATTTATCCATTAGTTAGTGTTATCTGCCCATGACACAACTGGGCCTTGCAGTTTATAGTTTGTAGTATTTGTGGAGTAATTAGTTCAATCACTTACCAGTTACAAGGTGAAATTTAGACAATTTTAGATGCAGGGGCTGTGACAATGCTGCAGTTGTACACCTTTTTTTCGGTCATATGTACCATTATGGGTCAAATTCTACATAGTTTGAGATTTTTCAAACCATTTTGAGTGTTAGCTTTTCTTTGTTTAACTTTGATTTTTGAGGACTCATATAAGTCAATTACAATTAAAATTTACCAACTAAGCAAAAGTTAAAGCCACAACATCACTGCTTCCACCCCAAAAATCATTTCATACTACTTCAAATGATTTCCAAGAAAGTTTACTTACTGGTAATTTGAACACTATAGTATATTACTAGCTTATTGGTATGTTTTTCTTTACTTGTAGGCTGTTCCAGGTCCAGGGAAATATGAAATTAGAAGCCAGTTCTCAGCTAAACCACCACCTGTCAATCAGGATGAACCAATCATTCATCCTCCATTTGGCACTCAGTCCAGGGTATGCCACTTCTAATTTTTTACTCAGTTTTTCTGTTGTTTTTTGTCTTTGTTTTCTAATCTGGTAGGCTGTTGCCTTTTTTAAACCTCCTACTGTGGAATGAAATTCCTCTTGAAATACATAAAAAGGACACCATTAGCACCTTCAGTTCAGCCATGAAAAAACATTTCATGCCATAGTGTTGTAAATAGATAATCTATGTGTTTTGAATTAATTTTTGAATATGTTTTTAACTGTAGATGGTAGATGTTTTTGTGATTAATATTCATAATTTGTATTATTCTTAGTTATTTTATAAAGATATCTATGTGTTCTGAGCTAATAATTGTATCTTTTTTATTTTTAACTGTAGATGATAAATGTTTTGTGATTGAGATTCATACTTTTTACTATTCTTAGTTATTTTATGGTTACTGGGTTGAATTTTTAGCACAGAGGGCTACTAGTTTATCAGTTATACTAGCTGTCATGTGTTATTCTCTCTATTAAAGTTGTTACTTACTTATTACTTTCCAAATTTCTATACTAAAGAAAACTTGCCACAAACTACCTTAACTCAGAATGAACGTGAGTGTATTATTCCTTTTACATTTTTCATTTGCCTTATTTAGCGCTTTGGAGACAGTAAAAAGGACACACCTGCTCCTGGCACATACAATGATCCACGCAATTCCCTAGAAATACTTAAAAGGTATGCACAAGTCTTCCATAATGATTAAGTAACAGTTTGTTCTATAAAATGTCAGTCCTTTTTCTGATTTGAGTCTCCATCACCTTCTGGAATTTTCAGCATTGGTTCAAAATTTATAGACCAAACTCTTTCTTTTGATTTTGCATGACCATTTTTGGTGTCTTGGGAATCTGGTTATTTCCTGGAGCAACTTGTAAAATACTACCTGTCATATTTTAAAGTCAAATCCAAATAGATGGTTCTCAAGGTACAGGTAGTTATCATCAGGAGAATATTTATGATATACTTGACATATTTTTCCATTAATGTTTATTTTTCATAATTTGTAGGACTACGGGACTGAAGCGAAGTCCTTTTGGTCAAACATCCGTGCGATTTCATGGGGAACATCATGTGAAAAGGACCCCTGGTGAGTGACAATGCTAACATGTTGGATACATCTTATTTTACCCTTTCAAATGCAAACCATGATTCTAAATCAGTAATGTGACTTCTCTTAACATTCCTTTGTCTTATATTCAGTTGAGAGCTTTTTTAGCTAGCAGTGCATGCAAAAACTTCTGAATCTAACAGAACTTTGTAAAGCATTGTTATGCCAAAAATTGGAGACACCCTCTGTCACCAAAATCAAATATGGTTGCGGTGACATAAAGGACTATTTTAAACATTAGATGCCAATTGTCACTCCCTATTGAAATGCCAGCATAATTACATTTTCACTTCTGGTTAAAGTCAGAGAAATTTTTAAGTTATTTTTTAGTGTTATGGTGCCTTTTCATTTTTTTGTTCTTGATTACTTTTTTACAACTTTTTATTTTTTTATTTTCACAAAATTCCATTAAATACACTGTTTGCATTATGTTGGCACTATTTAGAGGAAAAAATTACATCGATCATATAACTCATCCAGGGTAATTTTAAATGCTCTATCATAGGACCAGGGTCATACAGCATTCCAGACATGACATCAGAGTTAATAAGAAAGGCCCAGTAAGTATCATTTGATACAAGAGCATATTTTTCTGCTATTTGTAAATTGTTAGAGATCACTGGCTTATTAACTGAATTTCCATGCTTGAATGGCTGAAAGTTGTCTTGAATAGAAGTTATTTCCAAATTGCATTTGCAGGGGGTTGACAATTAATTTTAAGATATATGAGATACAGGTTGTGGCAGACTTGGTTCCATACTTAGTCAAAGTCCCCTTTATCAAACCAACAGTTGATTACGGTAGCAGACTGAGCATAGTTTTACCTACTGCACTACGCTGCTGGCTAAATGTATGCAATTTTTTATTAAAACTTACTTACATGGAATGGGGTTACACTGCAATAATGCTTTGTTAGCTTCAACACCATCCATTCCTGCTTTCCATCCTTAAAAGAAACCGTGGATTCTTGGGTAATTGGTTGAAGGGGTTGTAAGAGGGACGAATTGTTTTGGCCTCAGATGAGAATTTTTTAAGGTTTATATTCAACTCTTTTGCCTTTCTTTTCAAGTCGGTTTCTTAAATTTTTCTCTGCAGTGTTGAGAGTTCCAGGAAAGGTGCATTTGGCTCAACAGCCGCACGAATAGCACCGATGATGAGAAGGAAGGAGGAACAGATGCCAGGTATGATCAGAACAAAGATGTTTTGCTTTGTTATGTCTAAATATTTTGGGAAATTTTATACGTGTAAAAAAAGCTTGTGACAACAATGTATCTGACTTAATCCGAAGAGATAGTTTTTAAGAGGCATTTGAGGTTTCGTTCGCGAATATGTTTGTACAACTCGATTGTAGTCAATGTTTTCCCTTTTCTTTTCCCTACAACGTTTGCTCTCTGTATTTTCAAGGTCCTGCCCATTACCTAACCAAAGACAAAGCTAAAAGTAAAGATGATCCACCCTCATCCACCTTCGTATCTTCCACTGGTAGACTTCACACCCCTCCAGGGGTGGTGTTAGTAAGTGTTTCTGACCCCTTTAATTTGTTGTGTATTTTTGTAGATCGCATATAAACACATAAAACCACATATCCTTTTCTTTGAAGTAAGTTTCTTTGAAGCCCTATACAGACATTTGTGATGGAGTCTTCTCGTGGCTCAGGAGGCTCTCTGGGGGGTTGGAAGGGGGCGTTATTCCTGGTCGTCTCATGCTTTAGAAACGAGAATGCACTTGAGGGACTAATAAGCTAAATGTGTAGCCCCTCAGCCTTTTAGTGAGCGGAGACGAGTAAAGAGCGGGTGAACTACAAACGGTAATTATGGTTGTTGCTCACATCGTTTTTAATTAAGAGACTAAATTTTAAAGTTTCTTATTTGGTTGCCACAAATTAGCTGTAATGAGCTCCTGCTGTTAGCACTAATTTGTGTTTTGATAATTTGACGCAGATCAGAATGACTATGGCTTGTATCTTCAGATCGTAACTTGCATGTTTTATTTCTCTCCTAGGATAACCCACCACCAGGGTCCTATGAAGTCGGGATTTCCTATGACTCAACACAAGGTGCGTGTACTGACCTGACCAGAGTTACTGAAATTCGTGTGCTAAGGCAGTGACTCCGTAAACGGCCCCTCTTTCAAGTTGTACTTTTGTGGCCATTTCTGTTCAGACGATGATACTTAACACCTCTTTTTGTGGTAATACTTGGACAAAATAAACTGAGTGCCGAAATAATAGGGGGATTGCACTCCAAGATTCTTAAATTTGTTTCTTTAACAATAGTTAATAATTATGATGCAGACAGACTGTTTTTTTTCTCAATGCTTACCGATGGCCTGATCTGAAAAATTCAGAAATGTATTTTGAATGAAATTTTTTAAACCTTGTGACAGATAGGTATACATAAAATAACATAAAGGCGTATTTCTTTCAACAGGTCGTGTTCTATACAGTAACGCCCAGAGAACGAACAAGAACACTAAGAAAAAGGGAGCGTTTTTATCCTCGTCTGATCGATTCCATGGACAGCGTCAAGTCATGTCGGAAGAAGGAGATCCTGGTTAGTGTTCTAAGACTTTCCATAATCCTTTAACTCCCAAGATCTGATTAATCCTCCTCTCTAGTTGCTACACATTCCCCAGTACATTAGTTACGATAATTTGGTGTTAAATCAAGATAACAACTTATTCTTAAAGTTTGAGTATTATAATTACCTGTCTGCTGGATAATGTATGGATATTTCCAAAACATCTTTTTCTCCTCCATTTGAAGATTGAGAACTACTGCTCTTTAATATTAATCCTCATATCTTTATAGGGCCGGGCCAATACGAATTAAAAGACGGCTCGGCCCGAGGAGGTCTAATGACGACCAGGGAACAAAGATTTAAATCATCAAGAAATGAAAATCCAGGCCCAGGGAGCTATGAGGTATGTGTCTGACTTTGGCGTATGGATTTGGAAATTAAGAAAAACCTAAAAAAAAAAAATTATTATAATAATAGTGACAATGATAAAACGAACGCTTTTGAAAGCCTTTAAATTCGTGCGCCTTCAAAAGTTAAGTTAGTAAACGTACCTTTTGGTTTATTTTAATCTTTTGTGTTTTGCCTTTACGAATCTTGTTTCTATTTCTCTCCTTTTTAAAGGCAATTTTTTAATTCTACAAAACAATTCGAAATATAGGAACATCATTTTCAGTATTAATATAGCGTAGCTTTGTTATACATTTTCCCTAAAAAGCAGTTATTGGCAGCAGAGTTAATTTCTTTCCTTTTCATTCTTCAGCTGAGTCCATTACAGATGCATTCTATGCTCAGGGGAACATTCAATGCCACCTTAAACAATCCTGTAGCGATGTCCTACGACGATGGCTTAGAACGGAGATCACCTTCCAAGCAAGCTTTCTTACTGGGTGTCTGAGGAGGAATTTTTCTCTTTTTTTTCTGTTCCAGTGAGTTTGATGTTGCTTGGGAATCATCTTGTATTCACAGAAAATAAGATATTTTTCAGAGACCATCGGTAAGGGAAGTGCTCATGTGAAGTCGTGAAGGTTTGAAGCTGGGCGCCTATACTTTGTTGTAAATATCATTTAAGAGAATTAGTGGCGTTAGTGAGTAGGAATAAAAATTCATATATTGTTCTTCTGAATACAAAAGGCTCTTACTTAATGAGAAGAAATTTAAAAAATACTCTTTAAGTGTGAAGTAGCAAATTTTATCGCTTCTCCCTGAACTTCACGCTCTTTTCTTATCTGCTTCCACTCCAATATCAGAGAATGCTCCTACATCTGTTTTATTTATGTTTGGCGATATTTTCCTCTCGGTCGAAGAGAAACCCCGGCTCGAAATTTGCTGCTCGACTCCAAAGTCGATCTCAGTGTTCAGTCGAGCGAGTACCACGTGGTCTCTATATTGACTTGTTTGTCAGAAATGGAAGATAACCTACGTCATCGATTTTCTCTTTGTAAAGGATATCATGCAGAAATATTCGATAAGTGATGGGCTCCTGTCGATAATCAATGTAGTTTCCCGCGAGAAAACAGTAGGTCAACATTGAACATATTTTGAGGCGAACCCCTTGCGATAACGATTTTTGCAGCTTTGTAACACGTGCTACAGTGAAAACAAGCGTAACTGCAAGCCGAGGACAGTTATTTATCTATTCATACTTCACGACATCTGGAACCTAAAGTGACTACTACCCCTCCCCCCACCTCGGCATAGACGCATGACCGCCGCGTGACGATCACATGCTTCATTATTGACTGCTCGGTGACGGTTATAATACAACGCTCATCGCTTCGTGATAGCTCTTTTCGAGTAAGCAGTCTAACGCGTTGTGTTCTCTTCGCCTCGATTGCATTAGTCTGCGATCGATTGAAAGCCTGAAGCCAAATTGGGACAGACGAACCTCCACGATTTGTCTAAAATCCGCAATCATATTTGAACTTCGCAATGGGCCTTGCTTACCTTAGAGTCTCTATGGCTCACTGGTAAAGCATCGGAGCGCGGAATCCGAAAGGTCCGATTCCTCATGGGGACTCAGAATTTTTTCTTTGTCCCACGCTCGTGACTAGATGAAAACACATCTTTCTCTATCCACGATCTAGTTGTCAGAAACCTGCGTTCCTTTTGTCCCAAATATTACCGGAGAGACAGTGAGTAACGAAGCAGCTCTTTCGATTAAACCAGGTGGCAATATTCCGCTTCCAATATAAAATCATTTTGAAACCTTAGTTCTATATAGAAGCATAGAAATAGATGTTAATCGAATCGATTTCTCCGCACCAGTAGTGTATTTACTTCAAACATTCAACTCTGAGAAGCTTTTGACGTTGACATTTTAATAGTGTCAAGACATTCTCTCCCATCCAAATCATGCGACAAGATCACATGTGGATTAGAGTTCAAACTCCAAGTAGCTGGTTGCTGGAAACTGGACACGAATTTCCGGAGAAACATCAAGCTGCGAGGGAAAGGATTCGTGTTTTGTTACATGTCACGCAAGCTCCGTCGTAATTATTAACGAAAGACTTTAAATTCCGCGTCAGAGGGGTTCTACACAAATTCAACTGAAAATGACATATGAAGAATGGTCTCCGTGGCTTTCATCCACCTCGTAAAGGTTCTGGCCATTACTTAAGGGAACACAAATCTCATGGAGACAATTCCCTGGAGTGACGTGATAATTGTGGAAATTTGACAACCCAGAGAAAGAACGTTGATTATTTTGCTATTGTTTAATTCAATAGCGTCTATTATTCCTCCATTGATTTCTACATGTGTGGGCTTTCACGCAACTTTATCCACTGAAAATACGAAAATCCTACCGACCTTAGCCGTGATCGCATTTACTAAGGAGCATTTATCCAACGTTTCCACCGTTTGCGTGTAATATTCCTCATGATATCATGACACGAAAGGCAGTCTCCTTTCATGAATAAAACAAAAGCGTTTAAATCAACTGATGCAAACCGCCCGAGCAATTGTTCCCTCAAGACAATGAAATGGATGGAAGTCATGCAAGGTCAACCTGGAATTCTTAAAAAAAAAAAAAAAAAAAGGTAAAGAATTACTTGACTGAAATTGATATAAGACCTCGTGATAAGCCATGATCTGAAAATTAATTTCAGGTAAGAATAAACATACCCCCATTAACATTCGTGAAGCTCATTATTATTTATATTGTTTTGTGGAAATTGACCTCCTAAGCAGGGGGGGTCGTTTTTTGTAAACAAGCGTGACAGCATAACGCATCAAGTCAATAACACGCGGACATCACATGACAAGGCGGTAAACAGGCCATTGTTGACGTCCGGTTAGTCAGTCTTTTACTTTGCCGGCGGCAAAAACTTGAGTTAACACGCGGTGGTCAAAGCACGTTACTGGATTATTCCACACGATTTTTTATAAACCGGTCTACACCTCGAGAAAGAATGCTGTCCACCATGCGAAAGGTTTGCTTTTCTTCTTCCCGCATTATTCGTCCTCTCGTTAATTCGACCGACATCTTGGTTCGTGGTGCACATCAAGCGAAAGCCCAAGCACCAAGCGCCACTGTGAACACAAGTGAACATGATTTGAAACTGGTCAACGGTGAGGAAAACTTTCAGTTTTTCTATACTTGTATTTCAGTCTTAAGCTTGGTGTTAATTCGATTGGGTTCTTCTGTAACGTTTTTCTTCGTTCTGACGAAGGGCGAACACTCGAGAGCTCCTTGCGTTAGCCAATTGACATATCAGTTGATAACAGCAAAAGATTTTCTGTCACGTATCAAGCGATGGCGCTTGAGTCGCGATTTGGTCCTTTCAAACTGATCGTCATCTCAGACGTATCTTTTACCAAGTCCTTTAATATGCACTTTGCATCTGTTAATGGAAGAAAACAAGATCATTAATGTAACCAAAAAACCTTTTTTTTCAAATTTGATTACATTTTATCTGACGCTTCTAACGTTTATTCGACGCTGAGAAAAGAACAGTGGCCTAGAGAAAAACATTGTCCATTTTCAGGCAGAACTAGTTAAACCGGTTTTGAATGCTGATTTTGCTGTGTGCCGTGTTCTGTGAGCTTTTTTTCTCGGTGTTACATATTTCCTGTTACGTATTTCCTGTCGATAACATTGGGAAGTTTGTGGGTGGCAATGATCGTATACTTTCAGAAATAGTGCAGTGTAGTTTTTTAGGTCTCTTATCTCATATAAAGATCGTTTTCACATACATCTGTCTCAGCTGATCAACATTGGCTAGCTTTGTCCTGTACATTATGAAACAAGTAATCACACTTCCTCGTGAAAATAAAGGCAGGGGAGGACAAGATTTCCACATAGTCTATTTCTTTATTATGCATGCAGTTCTTGGATGAAAATAAGACCTTTTCAAGAGCAATAGATGTGCTTAGAGTCTACAGCTTTGTTTTTGATCAGTATGGGGTTATACTGAAGTATTTCCTAGTGGAGAGGTAATACGGTGCAAAAATGAGTCAATTTATTGCCAAAAATGCAACTATTTAGCTGGTTTTTGAGCTTTTTTTCTGATTGTTAAACTGAAGAAAAATATTTGTTAGAAATTGTTGTTTTGAATGAACTTTAATATATTGAACAGAGTTGCTATGGGAGGATGCACAATGATGATATCAGGGTATCAATGCATTATTTTTTTTCCTTGTGGAATACATTGCAGCCACACAATGAATTAGCTTTCTTTCACGGGAAAGCTTTTATTATAGAACAATGCCTGCTGTTTTAAATGCCTTGATCTCTTTCTGTTGATGAAACACAAGCTTCTACACAAAACAACTTTATTCATACACTAGTCTTCAAGCTTAAATTATTATTCAATGATATTGTTCCTCAAAAATTCACTTTGCCACCATGAGTGTTTCTGCTGTGAAGACTTAAGAGATTCAACTAGAAAAGAGGTTCCATGACAGATTTTCATTCACTTTACTCAGTGTTTAATGTTACAGTTACTCATCAGGAAATGAATAGTTGAGATCTTAGCCACTGTGGTTTTTAGTTAAGAAAAACTTCTATTGTCTTCATGATATTTCTCCGCACGTAAAATGCCTGGTTCTTTGTTGTGTGATATTGGTAGCAAAATATTTCAAAGACCACCCAGAGATTTCAAGCATCATTAATTACTGCAGAAGGTTTGCTCCAGTTAACTTTTTTTTTGAGAAATTTTATGAGTCTTCAAATCAAGATTAGTGCAAAAATTACGTTTTTATACCTGGTTTTATTTTAATGGTTTTGTTTGAAGGTTTTTTTTTTTTTTAACTCTCGACAACCTTTGATCAGTTTGCGTATTCTCCATACTTTTTTGTGTAATTTTCCTAAGGTGCTTAGAGAGCTTCTTCAGTTGGCAATCATTTCCTTGGTTTTTGTGACCTTGATGTGTGATTCAGGGGGGATATTGTGAGGAAAATTAAGATGTTTGTCATTCTTGAGAATGAAAAAGGGGTAATGAAATGAAGACACAGTATGTCTGAAAGTGTGAAACTAACTTTGAGGAAATTGAAAGAGTTCATGTAGACCTGAATTACTTCATATAGTTATCTTCACATGAAATGTTTGGTTGTATTGAAAATGTTGTTGTACAAAGTACTTGAAGAAAGGGAGCGCATTACAAAATTATTCTTTCTATTCCTGAAATGTACTTTGACTTTACCTCAGGTGCCCTGTTGAAAAATCCTCGCTCCGAGTATAGAATGGTCCGTCAATACCAAGGAAAGATTAAGGCTGTGATCTTGGACTGGTCTGGCACTGTTTTGGATTGCGGCGTCTACTCACCAGCTGTTGTGTTCAATGAAGTCTTTAAAAATGAGGGAGTCCCAATCACAATGGAAGAGGCAAGAGAGCCCATGGGAATGCACAAAAGGGTGCACATCCGTAAGGTCACAGAGATGGAGTCTGTACGAAGGAGATGGTTTGAAAAGTTTGGTCGCTTTCCCAATGAGGATGATGTGGAAAGAATGTTTCAGAACTTTGTTCCTTTGCAACTTGACTGTATTTTGGACTACTCTCAGATGATAACTGGTGCAGTTGACACTGTTAATTACCTGCGTAACAACATGAACCTGAAGATTGGGTCCACAACCGGATTCACTAAATCCATGATAGATGTACTGAAGGTGGCTGCCACTAAGCAGGGCTATACTCCTGATTGTTATGTTGCAGCAGATGAGGTACCACAAGCCCGACCTTACCCTTACATGGTTTGGTTGAGTGCTATTAGACTGGATGTCAATCCCATCGAAGCCCTTGTTAAAGTTGATGACACAGCTGATGGAGTCAGGGAAGGTACATCTGCAGGCTGCTGGAGTGTAGGACTTGCTAAAACAGTAAGTTTCGTTTATGATATGATTATAGACAAGGATATCACAAAATAGCCAGTTTCTCTCTCTCTCTCTCTC